AAGGGAGGAAAATATTCACTTTCCGAGAGTATCATCTTCAGAAAAGAATCTTCAAGTATAGGTGTACCTCAGGTTACGTCGTTTCGGGTTAAGTCGTTCTCGATTATACGTCATTTGTACTGTACTTTATTTTGCTGTATTTTTTCTGTATTGTATTAAAAACAAAATTTACTTATTTATAAGCTTAAAATCGACTGTTATTAACCGCATGTTATAGAAAGTGTATTCAAAAATGAAGTGCAGAAATGGGGCTGGTTATTTGAGGTTTTGCGAAGTGACAAGTAAATTCGAAGAGAATTAAGTTTGAGTGAAGTCGTTTTTCGACTTAAGTCGCTTCTCCTGGAACCAATTACCTACACAAGGTGAAGTATAGCTGTGTCTGAAGGAGTCAATCTTGGTCCTTCTAAGAAAACAACTCATTACTTAGAAGAATAACATTTGAGATCAATCATACGAGATTACTGCTGATCTCGTTGTATCAAATTAGATTCAACCTAAATCTATTTCTTTAGAAAAAGACGGCAGTGATGACCATTGAATAGTGTCAAGTCGAATATATGTCTCGTGGCAAAAGCTCAAAATCTCGTCGACATATTTGATGTTGAATCTAAACGAGATGAAAACTTACTTCCTAGAAAAAAAGGGTAATCGCAGGTAACCACCGTCGATTTTGAATTGGTCATGTTCTCATTTCTTCTAGGACCGAGGCAATTTTCAACTTACAATAAGTTGTGTGTATGTTGAGTCGAAGCCATATGATAGCGCTTGATGATCGAAAAAGAATCGAATGAAAAACTATGAAAGTAATACTCGATACTTACCTGTTATGTGATTCTTCATTGCTCCAACTCTCAGTGAATGTAACTTCCCAGCAAGGCAATATGTTTATGAAATAAACTAAATATATACTCTGTCTGAGTTGTATGGTTCAATTGCTGTGCTCCGCCTAATTTCTCGACGAGATTATTTACGCTAATTGGCTTGAAATTCAGTTATAGTTAATTTGATTAGGACACTGTGATTGCGTTTCGCATCAACAACTGCTTGAAATTGGATTTTTCCTCACTTTCATCGTAATTTAATTCATTATTCACATTGGTGATTACTTCTCGATACCGATGACGTTTATGGCTATTTCTTTTCGAATTCTGCATCTCAATCATGAAAAAAGATCAACTTTCAATGAACGCCTTGAAAATTATTGCTAAATCGAACTGAATTACTCGAACACCCCATCAATTCACGAGAAGACTTTGATGACAATGAGCAATTTAGTTTGAAATCAGGAAAACCTGTACTCATAAATACCAAGAAATTCCCTTCGCAAGAATAGAGATCGAAAAGTCATGAAAACATCCAAGTCAGGTTCAATTTAGATTCAAATGCTCGAATGGTGAATGGTGATGAAGCAAATACGATTCGAGAAAGAATCAGAGTCTACGTAAACGTTTGTAGAAATATTTTCTATTGAGATGCTCAGAACTGTTGACTGCTCTTTGCTTCTGTTGCATCGCATGTCGTACGAAACAGTTACGGATGACCACATGAGCGGCGATATTGTTTATTCATGCTAAATAAGTGAATTATTGCGATGATCAGCCATAAAAAATCACCTAAAGTGTTAAGTCGATGTTTGTTGAATTAGCGAGCTGAATGATGGCGATTCATTGCGATGTACACAAACGCAACTCAAATATTAATGACAAGATAAACACAGATCTCGAACATCCTCTCCGAAAGTGTACTCTATTCATACACTAAATGGCACAAGTTCAACATCAACTCTCTCTGAATATGCATCCAGATCAGCCAAACAACATGCATTCCGTTTTTATGCCCTAATTGATTGTTCACCTCAAACAGACTGAACCAACGAAATTATTTGATCGGGAAAATACGTCTTCATTGAACTTTGTTAATCAGCTATCACAGCACTTGACCATCAAAACATTGCACTGTACAGCAGTTCATAATGTAACTTTGTTTTATATGCTTNTACAAACTATTAATAAGTTCCAGATATCACAACTTGCTAATGAATAACCGTAGTGTAGGTCTAATAACACCTCCCGTCTCCATACGATATCTGCGCATTCTGCATTTTCTATTGTATGAGGTTTCATGCCCATGAATTTGATCTAATTGGGCGAGTAACTTGATTTTGTTTAAGACATTGAATGCATCACCATTGCAGCCTTTTGTTTGATTCAAAAAACAGCGGAACATTAAATGAAACTTTACTGATCCTTTGCGTCATTTTGTCGCTATTTCATTACAACACTGTCTTGGTTTTGGTGTCCAGCGAATGAAATTTTAAAGAACTAAACTCAAGCATTTCAATAGACTCATGGATACTTTCATAATCACGCTCTCCAGCGTCACGTGGTTATGCACTTTGCTAACCAACAATACATTTCTAATGTCTTTTCAGACTCTCGATTTTCTTATTGCTCACGATCAGTCAATGAACAAAACCTTTCAAAGTATCCTTTTTTCAATTATCATATTTTCTGATGATACAGATTTTATGTATTCTTTTTCGTTTAACCACACTTTTCTTTCAGCAATCACGTATTCTTATTTATTCAATCGCACTGAAATAATTCAGTAACTGCATTCTTCTGTGGATTCATTCCTCTGAGAGTTCACAGTACAAACCGCTGATGTGTATTACATTCAGCTATCATAATTGTAACATCGATAACGAGAAACGATTACGTGAAGAGATTTGGGATGCAGGTTTTAGTCTTGATGAATTGTTTGCTAAGATCTCAACATCGTATCCTCAACGTTAGTCTCTCTTGTCGAGGGCGTTACTGACTGATTGTTTTGCATTCAATATCAAAAACTGGTCCTTGGAATGCTGGGGATTTGACTATTTTACACGTCTACTCTTCGATATCTCATATCTATCTGGTCCGCATTCTACAATCCTCATCAGTGCTTGCGTTCAGTACCGTGCTGTTGAACCGATTGCCGCATTATAGAACCACTGCACGATGGAGGTTAGTAGACTGTCTTTATTATCATCATTGATAGTTCTATGCGATATTTCGATTCAAATAGGGATTGTTACGTTATTTCATGCATGTCGATGAACAATACCTTATAAATGAATCTGTTTATGAATCGTAACTATACGTTGTTCATTTGTGATCATGGCTTGCAGATCGGCTAATTCAATTCTATGCTAATTTTCTTATTATCAATAAATAACACTTCACGTCATGATTAAGTATGCCTACAAGCATGGTAGAATACAGTAGCTCTGATTGTTTGTTGCACTGATATAATATATGAGCGTATTTCGCAAACTTTCAGATACTCACAAAATTTAAGCCGTTGCCAGTGAAAATTCAAAGTTATGATTTAAACAGCCAACATTTGCACTAGAAACGAGGATAGAAAATTATTTGGATTCATTCAGTTTTATGAAAATATTTTTCATCTCCCAGCATCTCTTTTTCCGCGCGATTCATTCGATTGGGATTGTTATAGAGCGTAGATTGTATTTCAAATGTGTAGTGCTCAATGCGCACTTATACAGTGATTAAGCGTGACTAACATCCGTGAAAATCATTCACTGCATGCAGTGATATGGTGATATGCAATGAAGCATCATTTGTATTTACATCATTTGTATGTGTAGCAAAGAATGAGCATTTTCTGTAGTATTCATTGAATATAGGAAGTGTCTGAAGCGTAGTTCGGATAGTTTTCTTGTGGTTCAGATACGTTCGGATAGTTCTTGTGTGACATTGATCCACATGTAATCCTTCAAGAAGACACATGCAACCACAAGTGAATGCACAAAAATGTTACGAAAAATTGCAACGCAGCATTGTACTGTAACTTTGCGATATCCAAGTCGTTGCTGTTCATTGTGTACATTACAATGTTCCACAATAATTGTGTTTGTCATTTGAAAATGATTGCGTAGCAACGGCAGTTCTCATTTCCGAATAGCAGCACTCGCTTTTAGACGTATCAAGCACTAATGCATTTGCTAATATGAAACCGCTAACATGTTGAATGTACACGTCATACATTCATCTGATGCTAACTGTAGTTCACCTCTTTTTGTAAACAATAATACACTCTACGACCCTTCATTAAACGGCCGCTTGAAACTAATTGTTCAAATGAACTTCTGTTTCCTCATANGCGCTGAAGCGATATGCACAATTTCTGAGTTAAGGACGAGCGAGAGAATGAAGAGCAACAACCGGTCAAGCATAAATGGAATCTGGAGCAACTCAGAGGTGGGCACTCGTTCCTGTCCATGCAAGCAGCCACGAACCGATTCGCTTCCCAGAAGGGCATGACCGCACCTGGCATGCCCAGGTGGAACATCACCAAGGATAAACAACTCGGGTTAATCACTAATAAAAACTTCAGTTTACTCGTACAGTGTTGATTATACTGTTTACCTCCTCTGATTTTATGATGAAGTGATAAAACATCAAATATTCAACAGACATTGATGAATATAACGCTTCAAAGAACTAAGCAAATTGTAAGATGTAAGACAATTCACAATGACAGTTTTCGATTTTCGTCCGCTAGCAAAGGGATGATTTGATGACACAAACCTATTGGCTGCATAGCAGAACAAAGTCGATACCTTAACGATCATTTCTCATATTCGTGTATGAGGAAGTGGCAAAGTTGGATTAAAATCGAGCTGGCACTTAAAATTACCTGAGCGCACCTTGAATTATGCACTGAACTCACGTTTTCGATAAAGCAGAAGGCAAGATCTTATAGTGATGGCTCGCAATCGCGAGATTGGTTTTTAGAGCGCTATGATTGCGAGCGACGTAGAATTAAATGAGTTAAGTCATTCGATCGCGGTTGCAGGTTCATTGAACCGAATCGAAAAAGCGAGGAAGTACTAAGAGCGCAGTGCGGAACGAACCAATATGCATCGCAGAAAGGCAAGTAACTTGACTTCCTAAAATCTGAACAATCACCAACTAATATATTTGGCTTATGTCACGCAACTCTTCTGCATATGTTTTTGTATTGTGATAGTGCATTGCTAGTGACATCACTCATTGATAAGAGTTCAAAATTTCAATTCCGTGTTTGAAGTATCAGCTTCAAGTTCACTCACAATAAGTAATCGAGCAGTATTTGGCGAAAAACATGTCTTTCATCTGAGCTGCGAGAGATCACATTAATATTTCCTGAATTTTGAGGCCAAACTCCTATTGGAGCGTCCAGATATCAGGTTCCAAAAGTGGTCTATAAAAAGGAATGGGAAACGATTCTTGATAAGGAAGGAGAGAAAATTATGCCAAAACAATCAGGAGACTATGGATTAGCAACGCAGTCTGGAGAGGTTCTTTTATTCCATCTAGCTGATTGTTGCTCTATCCAATTCCTATCTACCACAAGATAAATTTGAGTTTGTTTTCACTTTAATTAGGAATTTATGGATGATTCTATTT